CAGGTGCCTTGCATGGGGTTTAAGCCACTCAAAAAAAATCCACAGGACATTTTACAAAAACGCCTCTGTAATGTGATTTAGCTCAAAATTGTTTTTCAGGAGGGAGGGAAAAAAAGTAAATTAGATTTCCATAAAAGGTCAGCTTGGAAAATGAACTTCTCAAAGGGGGGGAAAAAATGAAATAGAATATCCTCAGAAAAAAACGTCTTAATCTAATTTCCAAACCTCGAAGGGGAAACGAAGCATCAAGGAGAGAATGAGAGCAAGAGAGAGAGAAAGAGAACCATCACAAGTGTAACAGGACACCAAAATATAAATCTATAAAAGGCATTTTAATACTCCATTATGTACACTTTTCACATACCCTCCACACAGATGAAGTTTCAGAACGAAGCGCTGCTTCACGATGCATTATGGAACGTTCTCACTGCATAGTGAGGAAAAAAATAGACCCAAAATCCAACATAGAAAGATTTGAAGCAAAAAACAAAACAAAAACGGCAAGGAAGGAAACATTGAGTGTTCTCTAGTGCCATATGAACTGAGCAGAGTGTATGGGGTCTGTAGGGCTGCACATTTGTGTCCTAGTCCATGTCACCCCAGCGTCCACTCTTCCACATCTGTGGTCAGTCAGTTAAAAGTCAGTGAGTGTGAGACAGACAGTCAGACAGACAGACAAGGGCTTTTCCTGTCTGTTTGACTAGGAGAGTCACTGGAGTGAGAAGTTGTGTGTCCCCCCTTCCTCCTCCAGAGGCCTGAGCTGCTCCAGTCTGTTACCTCGCAGTCTAGTAGATCACTTCATACACCGTGGCCTTCTTGTCTCCAGAGCCTGTAACAATGTACTTGTCATCGGCTGATATGTCACAGCTCAGGACTGAGGATGATTCCTTTGACTGCAAGAAGAAAAAAAAAAGCCACAATAAATTTGGCGAAATAAAAAATATTTGTATTTTAACTTCAAATGTGCCACAAAGGGCCTGCATAAAACTCTTCAGACATCCTCTATTACTCAAAGAAAATGCTGACAGTTGTATACATAAGCACTTCCCTTTCCCCACCAAACGATGCATTAGCATCCATGCCGAGCCACTTCAATCATAAACACTTGAAGGGTTATTATTATTTACTCTTAAGCTCGTAGATGCGAGCTACACGCGCGGACCCACATCCGCACTAAGTGGTCAGGACCCAGCGTTAATGACATACTCCAGCCCATTTCCGCTGATCGAGGTCTGGCCTGTCAGCCAGCGGTCACTGTGCCCTTTCTACTGACTCAGGCAACCCACACATTTCCTGCAGACAGTCTGTATTGATCTCTGTACCTGGAATATGCTGGCGCCGTAGGGAGTCCTCCATGCATTCAACAGATTGTCCTTCCCAGTGCTCACGAACCATTTACCTTGTCAAGGGAAATCAAACGTAATTAGAGCTCCGTTCAGAGTACAGGCAAAACAGAGATATGCACAGAAAGCCAAATAAAAGACAGCCTAGCAGAAAAGGACAGTCAAGGTTCTGTCGGATGTTGTGCTGTATAGAAGCTCCGGCGTATAACTTCAAGAGAGTGCAAAAGCACTAGTGGAGATAGAGTGCCCGCATTCAATGCGTGAAGCTTGAATCAGTTACTTACCACAGTAGGCAAACTTGAGAGAGAGAACGCAGCTCTCGTGAAGGTGCAGCTGGTACTTGTCAGGTTTGGTATGGTGGAGCACCTCCACGTTGCTGCTTTCCATGCCGACAGCCAGCCACTCGCCCGTAGGACAGTAGCCCAGGGAGAAGATCTGCGTTTGGGGGAATAGACACAAGTTGAGCACCACTGCTTTGCACTCAAGTCAGCATGAAAAGAAACTTCCCCATATATTTTCTGAATGCATGTTTTATATCTTATTGTGAATGAATCATCCATGTATGTTTCATTAAAAAAAATTGTCAATATTTTTAATCAAAATTTCATAACCGGATCTTTTGGTAAAACCAACAAACTTTTCTCTGGTGATGTATGCAAGATTTCTCAGATCATTACATCATCATAAACCCCGCCCCTCACGTTCATCTGCCTCCATTTTTGAATGCAACGCCCAAATCCTAAACTCCAAGCAACAACTGGTCCCTACATTTTTTTTTTTTTTTTTCAATAATCGAATAACTCAGATGTAGGCCACAATACACAAGAAGAGATCTGTCGCCACTTGCATTCCTAAAACCCCATTATGAGAAGTCATTGTGCTGTGGCCTAACCTGAGATGTGAAGTCATGCTGCTGGAGTTGCCGTCCCTCTCTCAGGTCCCAGGAGCGGACTGTGTTGTCAAGACCACCCGTCCAGAGCTTGGTGCCATCATGAGAGATGTCAATGCAGCTGGCACCATCTGTGTGGCCTTGGAATTGCCTGCAAATCACAAAAAATAAAGGGTTTAGAGAATGGCCTTGTTTTAAATCTTAAAGGTATACAAGAAAATCCAGTTCATGAGAGAAAATCCTGAAAAAGGCCCACCTGACGAGGGTCTGGTTGTGGAGGTCCCAAACGGCAATGTTTCCATCGCTGCAGCAGGAGAAGCACACCTTGGCATCGGGGCTGATGGCCAGTGCGTAGCAGGCCGGTGCGGAGGAGGTCAGCTCGGCTTTGATGCGGGGTGTCTGGGAGGCAAGATCCCAAATGGTCAGTGTGCTGGCCTCCCCTCCGACGATAAGAGTGCGGCCATCAGGCAATAGCTTACAGGATCGAATATAGTTGTCCCGGTTCTGTAGATGGAAAAAAAAAATCAATATGAGAAAATATTCCAAACAACTGATCTTCCCACATTACAACTAGGGCTGGGCAAAAAAAAATTGATTTTTCGATATATCGTTTTTTAAAAATGTGGTCGATTCAATATCGATTCTCAAAGGCCACGAATCGATTTTTTTCAATATTTATTTCCGCAAACATGATAAGATTTACGTTAATCTTATTACTAGTCTAATCCACTAGATGTCACCCCCTTATTTGCCTTGCGCGATGTTACAACAAAGAGTCCGTTATTCATTCATTGCTTAAAATGGCGGATCCAGGGCTCTACAGCTGCGACCAATTCAGTCGCATTTGCGACTGAAAACTACTGCGTGCGACTATAAACATTTTTTTAGGAGCACCAGTGCGACTGACCCAATCATCATCATACTTGTGATTGCGCTCAGGGGAG